GCAAGCGTTCGACTAGAACTAGCCTTCGAGCAGGCACTGACAGAAACCGTTTCCTGCATCCTGTATGCTGAATTCCCCTCTTTTTTTGAGATAGACAATACTAGAAATGTAATTCTTAACTCTATATCATGAACGGATACCTCATTTCTGACCTATGTCGTTTAGATTTAGTTTTAGCTTCCCAGTTTGAGGGTGTATTTTCTCCGGATAATTTACCTTTGAAAGTTGACCACTATCCCCGTGCTTATATCGTTAACACTACATTTTCTACTACAGCCGGAGAACACTGGATAGCACTCTATTTTAGTTCTTCTCAACACTGTTACGTATTTGATAGTTATGGTAGGGACCTGAGAAGTTTGCCGTCTCAGATACACTCCTTTGCTGCTCGCAATTCATTTTCATGTACATATAATACGCTTATAATGCAAGACGTAGCTAGTCAAACGTGTGGACTGTATTGTATATTATTCATGCTAGTAATGAGTAGAATCTGTAATCTATCTATATTTCAACGACTCTTTTGTGATGACTTGATCCAAAACGATGTTTTTGTGTACCGCATTCTTTATACATTATACAATCTTTGAGCTTTATCTCTCCTTCTATATAGTACAATAAACTGATAACACCTGTGTGACAGATTTTATTTAATGATAAGAAAAAAATATATTGAGTGACAGATTTTATTTAATGATGAGGAAAAAATATACATAGTACAATAATTCTCAGAGTCTCTTTACATAAAACGCCACTGTTATATACACAGTAAAAAGTATAGTCCAACAGAAAAAAAAAATCACTCAGATAATTTAGACAGTTCAGATTGAAGGGCCTGGTCCTCCCTAGCATCGCGCAGGTATTTCTCCCCGTCCGATTCATCCCCATTGATTTCCTCGAACTCCCTCACAATGACATCTTCCGGAATATTGTTCATACAATCTTGAAGGTACATGTCCCTCTTTTCCTCCCACGAAGATAGGCAGCCCATTTCCATGTGCTGTTTCTGGCTGGGATGATCCGTCAGGCATCCGTGGCAACGTTCCTTAGATTTACACGAAACCATCTTCCTCAGGATTTTCGTGATGATGGATTTCATGCACTGATCCATCTGCTCGACTTCTTGATATGTCTCTTGGAATTTTCCCCATTCATTTTCGTTGAGTGCGATGCCAAATTTAGTAGGAAGGGCTGGATCTACGTGGAAATTAAACACTCTAAAGTCCACGATGATAACGTTGCTGTCGGGGAATCTCTTCGCCGTTACCCGCTTGTTTCCCTCCTCGTTTCTCTGTAAGTCCCAAGTCTTAGACGGCGTTGAAGAGTTTTCTCTCAGTTTCTTTACATGCGCGTGAATTTCACTGATAATGTTTATCAGCAGCAACCACTCGGAGGCGGAGAAGGATATTTTCTTTTCCGGTTGGTCCACATTGTTCAGTCTTATTCTCTTCTCTTTCTGGTAGATGCCAGTCGTGAAAGTGATTCGCTCACTCAGGAACATGATTAATGTCGTACTGAAAATGACTAGTGTGAAGGTTTTAAATAATATCCAGGCTGTGATGTCATCGGTCAAAAGGTGTTAAGCTATATGATGTCATCTATATCCAATCACAGTCCAGCTTAATTCCTGGCGGTGACGTCGGCGCATTTTTCTAACAGCTATGTCCATTCTTTTAAAGAAATGTTCCGGAGTGAAAAATCGTTCCTCGTCGAAATATTCTGAGAATATTTCTCGAAAGCATTCAATGATATTACATCCCATATGGCATGTAGAGGTCTCGTGCCAGGGCAAATCCAGGTCCTCGACTGTTTGTCCTCGGTCTATCCAGACTCTGCAATTGATGGCCTCTTGTGTAATCATTAAATTACGCGCGATTCTCGATAGCAATTGTGGTCTTTCAAATTGTCTAGATTTTTTCATGTAATAATATACATCTTCGTAAATCTGCTGCTCTCTGTCAAACAAACTTAACTCCAGTGAGAAACTAGCTAGATCTCGCAAAGGAAGAACTTCGGTAAACATACGATACATGATCAGTAATATTTGTGTTGGTTTGCATCTGTTTCTTTTATTCAGATTCGCCCTTATTGATTAGTTTTCCGATTTCCCACAATATTCTAAAAGAAGAAATTCCATAATAATAGAAAAAGTCTTTTATGTCTTACAAGTCGTTAATATAACGCATACTTGGGACCGTTACTCGTAACAATAACTTTTTTCTCACCTTCCGTTGATGACTACATTTAATTACCCGTTTTAACCCATAGGGGGTCAAGTACATTTTCTTATCTTTTGATATAAAATACTTTTGTTATATAACGGTATTCACGATTATTGATTCATTCCACGATTTCTCAAAGGGAAAGAGATTCCATAATAAAAGAGATGTTAATGTAATGTCTAGTTGAAAAGTTATTCGGAACAATAACTTTTTCTCACCTTCTTATGGTCGTTGCTTGTCTACTCAGATTTAATTAACTGACTTTACCTATGTGATGTCAAATCTTCTTCTCTTGCATTGCATTGTACTTTCCTACAATTTCTTACGAGTTCTGATCAAAATCGGTGACAGTTACTTTCTCTTTGGAGGGTTAACTGCATTTCACCTAACGGTTTGAAATTTTCTGTAGCAATGGGTAATAATTGATTGTGAACATCATTTTTATTACGAAGTATGTAGATACTTTTAATAATCACATTCTGCTGTTTTCCTTTATGAAATCATTCTAAAATCAAATGTATATCTTTGAACGTTTAGAATTTTTTACTGAAATTAAGTGCTTCGTTTAATCCTGGTTCAACTGTGTATTTCATTCTATTCAGTTTAATTATACTACAAGTTTCTATTGTAAACAAGGTGTTAAGAATTGCTCTAGTATAGTGAGGGAAAAAATGTATAAGATTCCGAAAACACCATCTCATAGTGAAAACAGGGCGTATAGCACAAGCAGGGTCCCGAAAGACTGCATGCTGTTTTCTTTATTAGAAAACTAATATTCAACATTAAGTTTCCTTATACATCCTTGTTAAAAATAAGGCGTATCTTGAAAACAGGGCGTATAGCAAAACCAGGGTCATAAAAGACTGCCCGCTGTTTCGTTTATCGGAAAACCAATATTCCTCATATCCTTTTATAGAACCAGGCGTATAGCGAAAACAGGGCGTATCGCCAAAACAGGGCGTATAAACCAGGTACGAAAAAACCCCCTTTATACTACTTGTCTTCTAATTTTCATGCATTTCTCTCAACCCGATACATCGAAATCAGGCCCTTGTGTGGTCAAAATAAATTATTTTAGAGGAAATCTGGACCAATTTTCTATGCTCCATTAAACGCGAACGAACAGCAATGACGGCCAAAAAATGCCATTATTTCTCATTTTCCGTCTAAACTCACGAAATTAAACCTTAAATTATAGACTACAATATTTCTAAGTATAAAATCTGGTTTTACTGCAGGTTGCACAACAGTATTAAATTTCGCTATATATTCTTACCAAAAATGCGCAACTTTGAGTAGGTGGTATTAATTGAAAACAAACTTTTGAGAAGTTTCCTTTTCAGATCTTGTAAAACAATTCTTTATAAAGATTTTAGTACCAAAAAATACATAGCCATCCAGCAAGGCACGCAAGTTTGTTTCGGTCGAAGTCGAGCAGGTGCTTGAAAATCAAGTCCAGGGCCTAATCACTCCCCACTCAAATACAGTATATAGAAAAGTCAGCACGCCCTAAATTCGCGAATCGCCAATTTTCCCGGGTTAATTGACCTGACCAATCAGAGAATATGTATGACGTAGAGTAAGCGTCACTAAAAGTTGCGTGGCGGAAGGTTAGACAAACAAAACTACTACAGTATATTTATTTTCAATATAAAGAGAGGTTAAAAGATGTGCTTTCGGACTTTGTAACAGTGATAGTCGGTATCTGGGTCGGAATGAGGGGGTGATATTTTACCCGTTCCCTAAACCCAAAACAAATTTAGACAAATGTCGACGGTGGATCAAGGCATGTAATCGTCCACACACACAACTTAACGTCGACAGGATAACGAAAAACACTTATGTCTGCTCAAAGGTATGTTGTTACAGAATGTAGTCTATGAATCCACACTATGATAAAAGATTCTGCGTATTTTAACAGAAGTTACGAAGAGTGTTAACAAAATCAGCCAGGATTTCCTTTGCTGTTTTTGAACATCGTCTGTTATGTCAGAAATATATCGTACGTGTATGCCGGGGTTACTGTCTAACTAGGATGTGTTCTATAGTGTAAGGGGTTAACATGCACTTCACATCATAAGATGATAAAACCTTGAGAAGTGAAAATTTTGCATATGGTTTGGGAATGTTCCTATTCAGCCAGTATATTACACTTATATCTATGGACTGATAAAGATAATTTAAATATGCAGAACATTATGAATATGTGTTTAAATGAAAATTTTTTTGTTAAGAGTCATGCTAATTTGATTGCAGCACTTTATGAATGGCTGTGGTCCTACACCAACATATCCTGATCCCATTCCTCTGACTACCAGTAGCAGCACACCCAAGCCATCCAGACCCCCTCCAAAGAACAGAGGAATCTTTAACAAACAGTCAAGGTAAAAACTTATCATTATATATTATTCCCATGCAAATTTTATAAAAAGAAATTTAAATTTAAATTTGAAAAATTATAACTCTATTTATTGAACAAACTTTTAACTTTTATAAAACTTGTAGTTTAATATCTTCATGGTCTAAATAAAGTTAGCCCTATAATTCTATGTTGATATATGTGAAACATTTTGCTGGGAGATCAATTTTGCAGTGATCTTTGTGCTATAATTTCAGTAAATTAGAAAATCATGAAAACCATGAAGAACAATATGATGAATCTACTCAGCATATGACTGGTTTGTCAACATGCACTCAAACTGCACTCAAACTGAGGAAAAATATAAGTGCATGGATGCCAATTATGAATTGCAGACAATATTCAACATAAATGCAGACAACAGTTTATTCAATTAAATCATGAAAGTAACGAAAGTATATTTCACTTAAATTTGAACCAAGTTCTTTCATAAAATCAACATCAGGATGTATTCTTTCAACATGTAATTCTTTTCGAGTGAATACAATAAAATCACAAAAAGTAACTCCAGTGACCAATAGTTGTCCTTGAATTTGAAAATAGAAAGCATGAGACTTTCTCAAAGAAATTTTTCCATCAGATTCAAGTAAACAAAAATTTGGGAGGGAGAGAGATTCTTCAATGGTCAAATCTCTGGCAGTGTATGGGCACTTTATTTCAATAATTCCACTTACACCTCCGTCACAGACTATTCCATCTGGTGTTGCCCCTAGAAATGGAAATTCCGGATTAATGCACAGTCCGCAGTCATGTACATGTAATCCCTGCCTTTTAACATACATTTCCCTGGCCTTCTTTTCATTTGCAATTCCATATGAGGTGGAAGTAGACTTAAATGGTTTTGGATCTAAAATAGTTCTGACATACTTCAAAGAAATAGATTTTCTGTGTAATATTTCATAAAATTTTGATGCTGTAAGGCGTTTTTTTCTCTCTAACTGCCATCTCTGTGAATTATACTGTTCTTGTGTTTCTTCCTGAATTTTATAAGCTTCGTTGAAGTCTATTGCTAGAGATTCTGATAGATGTTTATATTCATCTGGTAGTAAAACTGGACAGATATAGGGTAATTTTAGATCTCCACATTTTGTATCCACTGTCTTTTGCACATGTGGCTCATAGAAGGATGCCTGTAAAAAAAATTACATGAAGTATCAGTAAAAAAAAAACAACTATATTTATTTGCAATTTATTCCAGGGGTTGAACCTATGGACGTTTTACTACTGGCCGCAGAAAACAAGAAATTTTTGGAGGAAAATAAAAGCTTAAATGATAAACTTCAGGCTGTATATGGAGCATATGATCAACTTCATCAGAAGACCTACACAGAGAAGAGAAATGTAAAATTGCAAGCTGAACTTTCACAGGAATTCAATGTTGATGTCATCATTCATGATGCCAAACAATTCAAATATTACACAGGTTTAACACCTGATCAGTTCCTTGGTGTATATGTTTTTTTGGTACCGAACGATCAAGTTATCCCAATACAGTTTCCAACTAACAGAACAAAAGAAGTCATGACATTGAATTTGAAAAATCATTTATTTTTAACAATTATGAAATTGAGACACGATTTTCATTATTCTGACTTGGCTTTCAGATTTAAAATTAGTAAACAGACAACAAGTGTTATTTTTTGCATACTGGATCAATTATATGTTTTTGAGATTTGGAGAGCTTTCCATCTGGCCTCATAGAAATGTCATCAAAGAAAATATGCCATCCAAATTTAAAGAAGAATTTCCGACAACTTTTGGTATTCTTGACTGTACGGAAATAAAAATAAACAAACCATCATCTCTTAAGGCCCAATCACAAACCTACAGTGACTATAAAAGCTGCAATACTATGAAAGGTTTAGTAGTGTGTGATCCAAGGGGTTCAGTTACATTTGCTTCAATGTTGTTTAGTGGTGGATATCTGATAAGGACATTTTTGTTCAATCGAAGTTTGAAGACATGCTCAAAGACTTGTTGGATGAGGGTTACCTACTCCATGGAGATGGACTCATGGCAGATAAAGGATTCAACATTGAAGAGGAAGTAGAGAAATGTGGGCTGCAATTAAACATACCACCCTTTGCAACCATTGGAAAACAAATGTCCAAGAGTGATGCTTTACTTACCAAGAAAATTGCTAAACGCAGAGTCCATGTTGAAAGAGCTATTGAGAGAATCAAACGTTTTAAAATTTTATCTGGAAAATTTAAACTTTCTTTATTTACTTTGATTAACCAAATATGGTATGTCTGTGCAATGCTTTCAAATTTTTTTCTTCCTTGCATTAAAAACAAAACCTGAGTCAATGCTTTTAAATTTGAATAGGCATTAATCTGCAATTTCATAACAGAGCATTTTCTTGTCAAAGTGCATTATCCCAGTATATAATGTACATGCATTATTGATGTTATTTGATGAAATATAATTACATGTATATATCACATATGATAAAGTATTAAAAGATTGACTAAATTAATAACGTTTTTGTTATATATGAGAGAGAGAGAGAGAAGTAATCTATTAAATTATATTACAATACGTACATGTGTGCTTAAACCACTTCCTATTCCAACTTCACCCAAATGCGTCACTTTTTTCTTCATGGGATTTGACACCAAGTAGCTGATTGGCAATCCTTTTAAGGCCTTTAAATGGTCAACATCTTCCCCATTCACATAAAACTTCCTAAAAATAGTCACTTTTAATCAAATAACTATAAAATTTAAATACATGTACACATTATAAGTTTTAAATTATTGCTAACATTTATGTTTACCTGCATTCTGTCAACACATTTTCTACGGGTTTCTGTTTTCTATCAGGATGGGCTTTAATAATGCAAATTTGGGGGGCAGCTGAACTTTCAATCTTGCTTCCTCTTGGCACAGACCATTTGTTGGGGCAAACTAGTACACGTTAGGTTATCAGGGACTGCTTTAAAACCCACAAGAATCCAATGCTGAAGAGCCATCAGCAAGCCAATAATGTGAGAGCATGACCCACTGGCTCTGGAAAAAAAACGATTGCCAGGTTTGATTTTACAATTTTCATAGCAAAGATATCGGAACGTTTTATGCATCAAATTTGAAAAAAAAAAAAAAAAAAAAAACATACCCAGCTGTGCATGTACAATGCGCCAATTGCAAGGAACCTGGCGATACGTCTAGATTTAAAGAATGCGGAGAGCTGTTTTTCCGTTGGGAGCGGTGACATTTTGCGGAAATTCGGACTTCATTATCCTTGTCGCTTTTATACATTTTCACTCTCTCGAAATAATTCTCGCTGTAATATTTAAAACCTTGCTGTTTTGCTTTCAATGAAATTTCTCCCTCTATATAATTTTCGGATATGTCCGTAGGCAAGTCGGATAAAACTGCAAAAACGTATTGATCTTTACTCTTTGTCGCCATGTTTATAAAGAGATGTTTGTCTAACCTCAGCATCCGTGACGTAGTTTGTGAAAAGGGGCGGGGCTTACAGAAAGCGCGGCGATTCGCGAATTATAATGAATCTAGTCAATGCAGGAAGTTTACATATTGTTTTTCATCTCGTAAAAAAAATTCAGCCCCAGTCTCGTGTTAAAACGCCCGAATCGGAAGGGAAGATTCAGGAATTATTTTGCGTCAGCCATGATTTGACGTGAACCTCAAGTGAAATACTGTTACGACACCTGCACTGTCTGTCGTCAGACAATTATACAGATGTCACAATTCTAACGGCCCTATTTCTGGACTGTATACCTGTACAGTTTTCACGAAACAGAACAGTCCTCTTATCCCTTATATAGGACGTGTGTCGCCTTAATCGATTCGACGTGTTAAACGGGGTAGACCTTGAAGACAAAATACTTCCTTTCGTATAATCGCTGCCGATACAAGTCTTAGCTATAAAATCGTTTTTGATGATGTCATTTTCCCAGTTTGTACAGTACAGGTGTCACCCGGAATATTGAATTCGAAATGGAGTGAAAAACTTTTTATTGTCAAAGTAAAACTGCAACAATTGTCTCTTTCGCTGATAAATTCATCCCTGATAAAACCGAATAATTATCGTACGATCTCTCAAAGGGATTTGTATAGGAAAATGACAAGTCGCCCTCCACTTATTCGTGCTCGTTTTTATTGAAAGTTTTTCCAAGCCTTATTGGATTAGACATTCCCCCTCGTGGAAGGGATAAAAAATTGTTTGAAAAATTTTAAAAGAATCATAAACAAATGACACATCATTTAGATTTACCACTTATAGGCAATCAAAACCTCGACAAAATGTTATCATTAATATGTTCTGTATGGGCCTTTACCAATTACTGTAATAGTGTTTGTGCCAATAAAATATTTATATTTATATTCTATATTAAGGTGGCAGGGGATAGTTTCTTCTAATGCCAAACATCTGCCGAGAGGGTACACATATACATGCGGTCAATAAAAATATATAAATGGTGAAGTTTGGCTTGTTTTTGCAAGATTTGGGCCTCATTCGCACCCATACAGCCCAACCCCAGTCCCGAGCGAGGAGGGTAAGTATGCTGTAAATCAATGCATGCCCTAATGAAAATTCACCAATTGATCTGGGGCCATTCACCTTCCCTCCGAGATACACACCTTTTTCTAAGCCCTACTGCTTTCCAGCTGAATTTCCTCTGCAACTGACCACGTCTCTTAGTTTGGCATTTACAACTCTGTATATGCTAAGCATCGTAGTGACACCTCCATGTTGCACATCATTTTTTTTTCAGCAAGCACTCTGCAACACTGCAAATGTATCTCACAATAACTCTGATCATTTTTCTACATAATATATCGCATCAAGCAGGGGATATCTCGGTTTTTAAAGAAATTTGACCGGGTCTTTAGTACGAAACTATCCCCTGCCACCTTTAACTTTCTAAGTTTGCTTAGCAATTAAATTAACTTTCATTTTTCTGAAAATTCATGCAATTCTGAGCAAAAATATACTAAATAAGTCTTGTTTCAATGAAAAATAAAAAAGTTATACGCGGGTATGTTAAGGCTACACCCAGAGATATCCTACTTGCCTTTTACAATATGACCTCATAGTAAGCTGTATGACGTGGACTTAAAAATTAATGATTTCTTAATATCTATATTTAAAGTTTAATTTCAGATCCAAGAATTGAATGGATTCATTCAAAACATAATATAAACCAAATCTTGTCGTTTTTGGGTGGTATGAATAGCTAATTATTTAGCACGGGGGTTAAATACCAAACCCATGACGTCATTACTATTGATCAAATATTTGCCGGGTGAAGTTAAAGGTGACGAGAATTCATGTAAACAAATATATGAAATGGGAGTTTTAAGGCATATACCGTGAATTTTATGTGTGATTTATAAGGAATTAAAGATTAAGAATCAGGTACGCTGATATATTCTTATCATGTTTTCTTACGAACACAGGCAGTGCTTGTATCGAAAGTTTGTATTGAATAGTACTTGGAAAGTGCTGCTAGAATCGTGTGGTTAACATGAAATAATAACAATTCCTTGATCGTTTGTATAAAATGCGAAACTTTGGAATATTTTTTTCTATGTCGGGAGAGTAGGATTCTAGCAGCATTTTTCATGACCCAGTGATGTTTTTACATAATCATTTTCACTCAAAGAAATGAATTATCTCCAGGTTAGTGTTGAACTTTTCACTTTATCATTAAGGAGGTTGGATCCTGACATCAAAAGTAATGAGAATTTTTTATCAAGTATATTTTTAGAATTTATACACATAGCTTAATTAAAAATCAAAACAAAAAATTGGGGTCAATGCGCTTCTTTTGGCGCTACAGAGCATTTAGTTTGACCTTTTTGCACTCTAAAAACGTCTTGCACATAAATCATTTTTTAAAGTTTTTCCTCCGATATTTTTTATTCAAATAAGTTATGGGAACAAACACAGTTTTATTTCATCTTGAATAGACCCATTAAAATTTTTGACAACGAAAATTTTTTTTTAATTAATCCGCATGTTCAATTATTTGACCTTTTTGCACTCAAAAAATTTCATTTTGCTAGCATTACAAATTTAACAAGTAAAAAACTCATTTAAAAGTAATGACATTTTACTGAATTTAAGAAGAATGGTTAAAAGTATCTTGTATATTCAGAAAAGAAAGTTAAAAGTGGGGGTCTGTGATGTTAATTTTTAGATATTAGTAAAATAGTGCTAATTTTGAGCTTAAATTAGGGCTATTTTTTTTTCTTGATTTTCACAATATATTTGATTTATTAATCAAATATGATGATTGAATTCATGACAGTTTATTAAATATATAATTTAGGACCAGTATAAAACAGTTCACTGCACAAAATAATTCTGTGTGCAGATTGCATGTAAAAATAGGAATCCAAACTTAACATACTTTAAATACTTCGAAAGAGAAAAAATGATCATTTTCTTCTAAAAAAAAACCTTCCGCCACAAAATATAGTTCCTCACTTAATGCTTTTGGTATGGAATTTAATCATGGAGTTTTAACTGAATATAGTTTATTTGGCATTGTAGAATCCAAATTTATTGTAAGAATTAAAACATATTACGCAGATTATTTTAAATATAGGTTAAAATAAAAATCTGCTCAAAAGCTCAGGAGGGAACCTCGTTAAGGCAATTTTTCTGTTTATAGACGTCACGTGATGACGTAGTGGTGGAGTGCTTTTAGCCTAAGATTCAATGACGTCTATGCAATTGATAATAATAGTAAATGTTTTATCTTTGGCTTTTCCGATTTATCAATGTTACATTTTATGAAAAAAAAGTCTAAATTCGCCGAAATTTGATCTGGGTACTGCCTTAACACACCTGCGTAGTCAAATAGGTGACCCCGCCAATTGTCGGCCAAGTACCTTAACCTCATATTCTTTGTTTTACTGAAAAAATAACCAATTCCTACAACCCAGAGAGAACTATTTCTTATTAAATCAGGGTAAAGTCATGAAATCCATGAATATTTATCCTTCATAAACAATTATTAATCCACAGTAGTAGATGCAAATATGTTTAGGCTAACATAAATTGTAAACATAAATCTCTTCTAAAAATATAAATATCAATATCTAAGCTACTTACAATCCATTCCATTTGTTTCAAGAGGGTTCATATTGTCTTCCAACAAGTGGGATCATCTGTTGGACCACTACCCCCCCTCTTCTGCCATCTTCGCATACAGTACCGACTAGACACAACCTAACACCAGAGCGGACCCCGGGTTCGCTTTATGGGTCCGCTGCGGGTCCGCTTTCAGAAATTTTGGGTTCGCTCTGGGTTCGCCTTGGGTGCGCTTCGGGTTCCCTTGGGGTCAGCTCTAGGTCCGTTAAAGCGAACCCGGCGTTCGCTTTCTGGGTTCGCTTTACGCACTCATGCGTGAAGCGGACCCCGCTTTAATCTTGCCGCCAGTAAGCCCCGCCCCTTGTATATTCCAAATACAGTATTGAAATCGATCATTGTTGTTTCTGAGGCGATCGATACATGTGCATGTACAATGGCTGCAGCGTTATTGTTGACAACATATAGGAACGATCACGTTACACGAACGATTCCGCAAGATTACTTCAATCACACGATTCTTCATGTTACACGACCATTCACGACTGTTAAAGCAAACGCACGATTTTTATACGCAAAGTAGTTAAAAATATTTAGGAGTGGATATTTTTAAGACGAAATTAGGCTTAATTTATTTAATAGATATTTTAGATTAAAAATATTTACTGCTGAAATTCATCGACTAAGGAAAACTGAAAGAAAAATAAAATATTTAGAAATGGATATATTTTTGAAACTACATATAAATAAGACTTAATAGTCATTTTAGATTACAAATAATTATTTATGTAATTCTCAGACTTAGGAAAATTGTTTTTTTTTTTTTTTTTTCTGACATGTAAACATGTAATTTATGATCGAATACTGCATTTTCTATCACATGATATAGGTTTTTTGATTCAGTTGGATTTTATGATATGCAGTAAGGGGGTAGATTTTAAAAAATGGCCTAAAAATGAATTAAACTATAATCATCTTTCCATTTATGAATTTCAGAAATCAGCAATC